AACCTATGACCTTAGTAAGCTGACAAAACATCATGAAATAACAAAGTATGTAATAGCATTCTAAGAATGAAAGTCTAGACACTTAATAGCGTATGAATTATCCATGAACATAAAACCAAATTCAAAGAATCACTCATATAATCTTTATTTAAGTCCAATTAATTAGGATTTCACCAGAACACATTGCAGAGTCAAAATGGAGATATAATCAGACACATTAGGCACAATAATATCTCACATACTCGCACATTAACCGACACCCTCGGCTCAGTATTTCATTTTAAACCGTCCAACAAGAAGGCGAGCCGTGTAATTTTCAAGTGATAAGGAACATCTGACGCACGCACAAACACAGCCAGGGAAATCCGATTAAAACAAAATAGAAACACAATTTATATTATATTGTATTTAACAACTGCTCATTGGCCGAGTGGTCGCAAGTGCGACTGCCGGGCAAGGGGTCTCGGGTTCGATTCCCGGGTCGGGCAAAGTATTACTGGGTTTTTAAAAATTCTCAGTAGTAGCACGAAGTCTGGAATTGTGCCCGGTATATGGCAATAGGCTCACCCCCTATTACATGGGACTCGTAACATAAATAGTGAAAAGTGGGTGTTACATTGTACAGTGGTATAATGTGCACCTCTGCCTACCCCTTCGGGGATAAAAGGTGTGATGTTATGTTATGTTATGTATTTAACAAATAAATTACATTCACAACATGTTTTATTAATTGCATTGAAATCGCCTCGTCAGCTCTCATTGTTTGCCAGAATAGATCATGATTAGTCGTCCCGTGATGACGCCGACAAACGGACAGCCGTTATAAATTATATTTATTGTGTTAGCTGTGTTGACAGTTAGATTAATTCGCGTTTTATTTCTTTCCCCCCGCTAGGTATCCATTTGATTCGTGATTAAATAATGAGCTAAGCATATTAAAACGTACTAGCTAATTTCATTAATTAAACTTAATTAAGTACAAGTGGTCAGGAATTTCCTAAAAGAAAGATGTTTAATTAAGATTTTTCATTAATTTCGTGAAAAAATCTAAATATTTCTACGTTGTATGTGTTAAAATAATTAGAAAGGAGCCCTGCGTACACTTGGCAAGTCATAGTGAATGATTAGTAGCGATGCTAAGGTTTATAGATAATGAATTCTGGTTTTATTCCCGCCGGGTAAAGTACATACGTAATCCTACGGCACACGGCATTTTACTTAGCCCGCCACACATTCCTCTGCGGCTCGTACAAACCGGGCTTTACACAGCCACTATTTAATTACGCGTGACGTGACATAGGGAACTCATTAAACAATCTTGAAATCCGCAGGGAAATTAATTACGAAAGAAGTGGCGGAGGTGGATGGCTTTCTCAGTACTGGAGGCTTAAGTTTTAACTGCAAGAATTTCTTTACTGTTTAGTCTTATTTCTGCATTCGTGATTGCAAGTTATATTTAACTTACGTGCGTGGTTGTGAATGTAATTGCAATTAAAATATTAGTTAGTAAAACTTTTGATATATTTTCTAAGTTTCGCTATAGCTATGAATAAATAAATGAAATATCATAATTTATCAGAGCACGTATTATGAATAGTCCTGAACTTGAATGGTTTTATAAAAGCGCCGCCTGATGTCCGGTCCTTACTCATCGCATATTCAATTTCTTGTGAACCTCTCTCATTTATATACATGAATTTTTTTCTTGGTGTTTCAGTCAAAATCTTCATATTTAATTAAAATTCTGAAGAGAAGACTTTTATATTTTCTTCTTATAAAACTAGATTTATCATTTTACATTGTGACAGGGCGAGCCATGAATAAACTTCGTACTTAAAGAAAATTGTTGATTTCCAAAGTTGTTTAATCAAAAACAATCTGTTTCTACAACACTTTAAACTCAGTAATTATTTATTGTTAGTTCAGTGTTACCGTTCGTGAGATTAAATTTTACCGTGAAGAAATTAATTTTATTGTATTATAGTAACAATCAATTTGAAGTAGAAATATTTCGGTACTAAAACTTGGGATGAGATTTTATTCCCTGGTCTAAATGGACATTCATTTTAGGAGAGCGCCATTTTTTGGAAGGTCAAGATATAAATAAGGCGGCATTTGTAATAATTTTATTTCCCAGTGTCTGTGAGCTAGATAAATGCCGTCCCTAAAGACCAAAATTCTGGAGTTCAGGACCAAAGATCGATGTGAGGCGATACATATTGCGTGGCACGCTCATAAAATTTAGATAACCCGTAGTACTCTAAATAAAATAAATCCTGTTTCGTGCGCTATGTCTGGGAATATCACGTATAGATGTCACGTGTTCTTATTAAATTTATTTCTTACTAGCTGTACTCGCAACTTCGTCTGCATTTTACTAAAATAAAAGCCAATGTTACTCCGTAATTTGTCAGTTGCCAATAAAAGTCCCGTCAAAATCGGTCCAGCTATTTCAGAGATTAGTCAGAACAAACCGACGGACAGATAAACAGACAAAAATTGTAAAATGTATTATTTTGGTATGTATATCCTTACTAACTGAGTTATTATAAATGAGAAAGTGAGTTTGTTTGTTTGTTCCGCTTTCACGCCGTAGCTTCTAAACCGATTGCTTTGAATTTTTGCAGACGCAAAGTTAGAAGTCCGGATTAAATAATAGGGTAATTGTTATCCCGGAAAATTTTTTGGAGGGAATATTCCCGAGGGAAAGCAAAACACCTCTACTCACTACTCAACAACTCAACTACTCAACTAACTAGGTACTCACATAGGCTACTTTTATCCTTTTGTGACGCGAGCGAAGCCGCGGGTAAAAGCTAGTATGTAATAAACGGTTATTTCAATATCACAAACAGACATTCCAATTTTGTTTACCTGTATAGATAAATATATTTAATATTTCATTATTGATTTAAATTGAAGTTTACGAGGCGGGAAATTAATTGTCCACCGGACTTGCATGCACTTGCGAGTGCACGAAGTTAATTACACATCCAATAGGGCGTTAAGGTGAAATTAATTGGCTTCATTCTGAAACTTAATTATTATTGTCGCAGTTCATTGGAAATTGAACTTTATTTTTATTTACTTAAGGACCTGAATATACCTCTAGAATAACTGAAGGATATACTTATAGAAAAATATTTTGTAATATCACCATATTATTATAAAATGACTGCCTCGTTGACCGAGTGGTCGCCAGTGCGACTGCTGGGCAAGGGGTCTCGGGTTCAATTCTCGAGTCGGGCAAAGTCAAATCAAATCATTTATTTGCACAAAACATGGTAGGTAACAAGATGTTGAATAAAATGTTTGTGTACAGCATGTTTTGCCGTGGAACACAGCACGCAAGTATTACTAGGTTTTTAAAAATCTCAGTAGTAGCAAGGAAATTGGAAATGTGCCCGGTATATGGCAATAGGCTCACGCCCTATTACATGGGACTCATAACATAAATAGTGAAAAGTGGGTGTTACATTGTATTGGCATTAAGTGCCGTAATGTGCACCTGTGCCTACCCCTTCGGGACTAAAAGGCGTGATGTTATATTTATGTTTTATTATAAAATCACGGCTTTAATACAGATAAGTTGGTAAGCTAGCTATTTTGCATTAAGTGACAGATGTTGCTTCACAATTCGGAACATTATTCGTAAACCATTTCATTAAGAGACCCAAGAATTTTCTAAGATACATAATATTTTATATAGCAATGGAAGAGAGGATAATAATAAAAGTTTTAACCTACCAAATAGTTTTCTTCAGTGTCTCAGTAACATACGACCCTTGGCACAATACCTAAAATCTATCAAAGATATATATGGTATAAGAGTATAAATAAAAATAGCAACAACCTTTACAACAGTAAGACCTTTGCATATTTATATTATATAACATTTTTCATAATATAATTAACTTATGTTGCCGTGGTTAAAAATAATACTATGGATTCCCTTCAGTAAGTAGGTAAATATATAATGTTATAATGTTTGCAATGTACATTAAGGGTTTGAGGTAAATTTAATTTTATCCAAATTATATTTCATATTGGAGCTCGTTTACGTAAGCGTGGATTTTGTGCGAGACCCTTAATATGTTGGCTGAATAGATTTAAAGTGACTGCCGCGAATTTTAAATGGGGCAAAATTGATGATTATTTTTCGATTGAAAGTTGTTTTATGTAGTATAGACCGTTTTATAACATAGCAGTGAAAGGAGTTTGAAATATATAATCCAAATATATACACTTAACCATCCTCTTTAGTCTGATTCTATGTAAATATCGAGTACACCTACAGTAATTATAAGAGAGACTACCAACCTTGAACTTCTTAATTTTTAGAGCGATTAAGCGTGGACCTAATTTCAATCTATTAATAATATAGCAAACGATAAGTAGGTGTACTCATTCAGGGGATTGGAGGATATTCTATGTAGGTTAAATATCTTGAAACAGTTTTCAAAATTACAAGTAATTTTAGGCTACAACTTTACTGTACGGTTCTTATTCAGTCCGCCTACACACGCTTCTCAGTAATCCGTCTCAGTTTCCTTTCGAACTACACAAATATATTATGTGCCTACACTTTGACATTCTGAGCGATAATTATTTACGTTTAATTGATAACGTGTGTGGTACATTTCTAGATTTATATCGGAAAGTTTAGGAAGGAACCGTATATTGCCTTTATATTGCTACCTACTTATTTCCCAATAAAGGCGCGCCCACCTTTACCAGTGACAGTGCGTCAGCGTCATTAGCTCGATACTATTAATTACTGGACGTAACCCTCTCGAGTCGCACGCCATGCACCGAATTAAAAACTGGATTTTAACACTATATATTACTTAAAAATATGATGTTTATTGTCCCGTTGTGGCCATATTCCGGCTATTAATATAAATGAATTTTACTGATCTTATTAAACAATTTGAGTTTTAAGCTAATTCTGTTTAAGATTCTCATCAAGGCATACATTTGAAAATATAAAAAGGACTTACTTATAACTGTGAAGTTGACTCTCAAGTTCCTTGTAGGAGAGTTCTTGAAGTCAACCCTACAGCGGTAGACCCCAGCATCAGAAGACACCACGCTGTCCACGAACAGCACTGCTGGGTTTGCAGCTGCTCGAAAATAGGCACGGGTACCGAACCCTGATGTTGAAGACCAGAGCTTCGGCTGCGTGGCTAACCGGCCTCGAACGTCGTAGCTGAGGAAAATAGAATAAAGTTATTACGTCTTATTAAAACTCAATAATAGTGGCTACGATAGCAAATCTATTTACATTCGCAATATGATACAGGACGTAGGTGAAGTAACATCGTCATCAACTTGGAAACGATCTCTACTCAACAAAAGTCTCATCCTACTCCTCACAGTAGGTTGACCGCATACATTGATTGGTTGTTTGCAGTCAGGTCACCAAAAGTTGGTATGTTGTATAGTACTTAATTTTTGGATGTCCAAAGGTGAATAATGTTCGGTCAATATTAAAACAATACAAAAGCATATCCAATTTTTGCTTATCATATCATTACATAGTACACACATCACATCAACAGTCTATGACTGGTCCCTGATGAAAAGCCCCTTCTCGCACAAAGATAGTTTGCATTAATCACAACGCTTGCTCAATGCAGGTTGGCGATTTCAAACTTATAATTAGAAAATATAAACCTAGGTTTCCTTACGATTCGAGGTGGCGCTCCACAAATCCGAAGCCATGTGTTTTCATGGCCGCGGGAACGCGCCACCTCCGGGTGAGTCCCAATTAACGGCGGGAGGAGTTACCATCGGCGTCGAGACGACGATGAAGTATCTAGGACTCGTCCTCGACAGTCGGTGGAACTTCGTAGAGCATTTCCGACGTTTGGCTCCTAAGTTGGAAAGGACGGGGGCGGCGCTTAAGCGCCTCCTACCCAACCTCGGGGGGCCAAACGCCTCCTGCCGGAGGTTATACGCCGGGGTCGTGCGGTCCATGGCCCTCTACGGCGCCCCTGTGTGGGCGCCGAACCTGATGCGGCGGCCCGCTCGGGCGCTGCTCACATCACAGAGGGTCATGGCGATCCGATTGATACGCGGATATCGCACGATCTCCGGGGAGGCGGCGAACCTCCTTGCCGGATTACCGCCGTGGGATCTGGAGGCGAAGGTGCTCGCGCGCGTGTTTTGTTTGCGCGCGGAGGCACGTCGCCGGGGCGAAACTCCGCTGCCGCGCCAGATTAATGCGTGGCGGGATGAGCTCCGGCGTGATCTCATGGCGGAATGGCAGCAACGACTGTCGCAACCGAAGGCTGGGCTCGCTGTCATTGCAGCGGTAAGTCCCCTCTTTGAGGAGTGGCTTGAGAGACGCTACGGCGTCCTCACCTACCGCCTGACGCAGGTGCTTACCGGACACGGAAGTTTCGGTAGGTTCCTGTTTCGGATTGGGCGGGAGGAAACGCCCGGGTGTCATCACTGCGAGGATCGCCCGGAGGACACGGTGGAGCATACGGTGGCGGTGTGTCCTGCGTGGACTGAGCACCGCCGTGTCCTCAGGAATGTGATCGGCGACGGCGACCTCTCGCGTCCGGCTCTGGTTCAGACCATGGTACGGAGCGAGGGGGACTGGGATGCCGTCTCCTCCTTCTGCGAAGCAGTCATGCTAGCTAAGGAGGAGGCGGAGCGCGTGAGGGAACGAACCTCCTCACGACCCGGCCGTCGCGAGAGACACTCCGGGCGTCGGGGATCGCGAGACGATCTCCGGCCACCGTAAGCACGGGTCTGCGGACGGCGAGCATGGGTGACTCGCCGCCCGACCAGAACCAGGCCCGTGCGTACGGCGCGTCGCGTTCCGCGCGCGCCTCAAGGAGCCATCAGACCACCACAGATGGGGCCTAACAAGGCTGATGCCGATACGGAGCCGCGGAAGACTTAACGGGTTGCCGGGGCTCCGGTTCGAAGTGCAGGTGTAGGAACGGGGTGGTTTTTAGTCAGTAAGAGTCTGACACTCCCTCCCGCCTCACCCAGGCGGGAGAAGTCATTGGATGATTTTCCCCCCTCAAAAAAAAAAAAAAAAAAAAAAGGTTTCCTTACGATGTTTTCTTTCACTGTTTGTTGATGGTGTCTAAATAATCTTAGAAAGTACATATCACTCGGAAAAAGTCTCATTGGCACTTGCCGTTGGTAGGTCGAACCACACCCTCATGCATGAGATGCGGTCTTAAACCTCCGGGCCACCACGTCATTTATAGACGGTACATCACCTAACCTGCTACAAATACCACATAAGATAATACAGAAACTTACAATATAAGGTAAACGCAGGTATTAACGACCCCGCTAAGGCAATTTTAAAATCAACCAAATTTTTTTGGCATACTGGTTCCTCTAAAGATTAATAGTTTTATTTTATAAGCTAGTGTTATGTATAAAAAATGTATTTACTGAATCAAATACATTTAAATAAAGGATTATATTGTAAAAAATAATTTACAATGTGACTTAGTCGGTTGTTGCAATTACCGACCCATAAAAACGGCTGTGAAGCTATTAACGATTTTTATGCAGCTATTTCCGATCGTGTATGAGAGGAGGCCTTTTTCCAGCAATGGAATGTATATAAGCTAATGATGATGATGATGATTACTGATATTAATAAAATAAAACAAAATAAAAATGCAAATACTTATTCGTTTTTTTTATTATCGTTATTTTTAATAAAACAAATTGAACTAAATAATTATAAACTTTTAAATTAATCAACATAATACTATTAATACACATTTAAATTTTAATTTCAGGATTTTAAATTCTAGGATAATTCGTTATGCTATTGAGATCGTAATCATTTTTTGAAAACTCTACTATTAATCACAGTCATTGGTTCTCTCTTTTTTTTAGAAATAAATTGCAACTAATTAGTTACATATAAGATTTGGTGGAGCTTACAAACAAAACATCAAAGTCACTTAAAAAATACATTCATCATCAGACTCACTGCTATATAAGACTCGACGTTTAACTGTCTCTCTTGCAGAGCCTGACTCTAATAGACGTACGGTAGTTTCTGTTTCAAAAGAATCTCTATCATTAACTAAACTACTATTAGAATGTTCATGTCCTTTTTTATTAGATTCATTTTCTAACTCACTGTTACAAAGCACGTGACGCTTTGCTGCTTCCTTTAGAAGTAAATTAAAATCGGATTCGCTATCTGATTGATATTTACTAGGTCCTGCTACAGGAGAATCTTCTTTGTTAACCGCATTCACTTTTTTAATTGGTTTTTTCTTCTTTAAGGTCGTTGTTTTCTTTAATAATTCTTTTTGTTCCTTTTTTTCCAAGATTTCTTGTTTTTTTTTTTTTTTATTTTCTTTATCTTCTTTTTCTTTTATGATTCTCCTTTGATATTCCATAAAGTCATCTGATATGGCTACTGTCGGCGTGAGTTTTTTATTTAATGTCTTCTTTTTATTGTAATCAATATTATTCTTCGGGAAATAAAGAGAATTTTTAAATGGTGTCGCATAATTCTTAAATGGTGTGGGAATAGCAGAGCTACTACTTGTTTCTGGAGCGGCCTCTTTGGTTGCATTTTTGGGTGATGGTGTATACTTCTGAAGTGTTTGTAGTGGCTCCGCGGTTATTTTAATTAAAGTATTATTTTCTGGTGCAAGAATCGAAGTGGACACGGGTGTTAACTCGTTGGTAGATGGTAGAATTAGTATATTATCTTGTTGAGGTGTAGATGTCTGCAGAAACTGGTTGAACTCATCTGGTACAGTTAATAAGTTTACAGTAGGCGACGAAGGTAGAGGTTTTTCAATAAACAAAGATAAGTTGGATGCCTCTTCTTCCAATTCTTCTGAACCTTGCTCTATTGGCAGTATTAGATCACTCTCAGGAACTATATCAAAATTTAGAATAGCCTCAAATATATCTTGTGTTTCATTCACAAAATTGTTATTTAGTGTTGATTCCCCTAACTGCAGAATACTTCCACTCTCTTGATTTATGGCGTTTTCGGGGGTAATTTTCTTCCAATATTCGAATAACTTTTTATAAGTTGGATCTCCCATCCATTGGCCTCCCGAATCTTTGAAAGTTTGTAAGGTTATAGGTGACAATCTAGCCTCAAAATCTTGTTTAAATTTTTTTCATATTCAGATGTGGTTATATGATTGACGTCTACAGTATGTTTTAAATTTGGCAACAGTTTACTGTAGTTTATTTTAGATGGATCAAATGGATATAATCCACAACATCGAAATCCGCTCTGTATGGTTTCAGGCTTAAGGCATTGGTCAAAGCATTTTTTTACTGCCGGAGCAAAATCAGTGCGTTTAAGCTTGGCATAGTTATTTTGAATTCTGAATTCATGCACAACAGTCCTCCATGTTCCTTTGACTGGTCTGAAAACAGCAACGTCGAGCGGCTGTAGTATATGTGTAGAGTTGGGAAGTAAAGCTACCAGGATGATTGCTTTTTCTTTACAGAATGTTGATAGTGGAAGTGATATGTGAGATGTGTGACCATCCAAAAACAAAACTACTGGAAATGGTATTTCATTTGTTACAAGCCACGGATAGAAGCAGTTGGTAACATATTCATAAAATGCTTCTGTGTTCATCCAACCTGATTCCGTATTACCAAGTCCCCATCCACGAGGTAATGTAGGCACAAGATTTTTTGGCAAACGTTTATACGGAAAAAGTATCATTGGAGGTACTTGATTTCCGTCAGCTGAAACGTTCACAAGCACAGTCAAGCACTCTTTTTCGTCATTAGCAACACGATTATAGACTCGTTTGCTACCTCTGCTGACCAAAACTTCTTTTTCTTTTGGGCATAAAAAGAAGCAGTTTCGTCACAGTTAAACACTCGTCTAGGATCTTCTAAAACATGATGCAGATTATTTGTCATAAAATAATTGTTCACTCTGTCAAACCATGCACGTATAGCTGCTTCTGTGACTTGATTTCGGCTTGAAGGAAGATTTGTGCAACACGTTTAGATACTGTTGGATGTCTCTTTATAAAATTCTCAAACCAATATCTGCCAGGCACACCATTTTTAAAAGGGTTTGGACGATTTAAGTTTTGAACTAGCTTAGCCACTGCTTCTAATAATTGTTCTTTTGTAACTGGAAATCCCATCTTGCCAAGGTAGTGAATCCAGTCTACAATCTGTTTTTCTTCACTTAAATTAAGAACCGGCTGAACTCCGCAAATTTCATTCTTATATTTCCCGTCCCGTTTGTCTCGTAATGTAGTTTTGGGAATATTAAACCTTTTTGAAGCCTCATATACACTTGTACCGTCATTAATTGCTTTGATTGCTTCGGCGAGTTGTGTTTCACTGTATACTTTTCGCCTTTTGTGGCTCCATACTTCTGGAAATAATATAATTGTATGTTTTATGTTGCTTTAGCTAAGAAGTAGCATTTATTAATAGGTACCTATTAAATAATCTATATACGAACGGTAATAGCTTCTTATAGTTGCTATTGCCGACCCTCATGGGTCGTTAATAAAGTATACAAATATAAACATAAATTGTATTACCGACTCATAAAAAAATGGTTATTTTAATTCATTGACCTTTGGACTAGAATATAGATTATAATTTATTAATGTCACAAAAAATGTTGACAAATACACACTGTTTTAAACACAAAAACAATGATTTTATTACTGTAACTATTCAATATCGATCCCGAAAAATATCATAACTTGGTTAAATTGACAACGCTAAAAGGTAAAAACTAGACAAAAGGTTTAGTCGCTAATAGATTTTTATAAAGACTGATAACTTAGATTTAAACTGGTCCATAAAAAACTTGTGTCAGTGTGATATTATAACATAAAAGAAAAATAAAACGAAAAGTTACGTTGCTGCCATTGCCGACTTATGGGTCGTTGATAGCTGCCACGATTAAAACTGATGAAGCTAACACCGTCCCATTTTAATTTAAAGTTTTATCGTTTCAAATTACTTTTTATTAATAAAATGTCGTGATAAATCAAGAGTTGACACTTAAATGAATACACTTAGTATTACAAGATAAACTATAGACGTCATTTGTATGTATAAACGTCTTAAATAGAAAAGTCACGTACTTACTTGAAGGAACAAGGAAACAGTATGACACGGCCTGCGTCCACGCTGCCCCGCAGTAACTGACGTATTTTATCTCTTTTTTGCAAAGCTACTCACACTAACGTAAAAGTATACGATACTCAACGAATAAACGCGAGTGTAACTTTGCCTACTTATAGCTAGAATAGTTCTGGAAACGTAAAAATTTCGAATTACTTTTATAGGTCGGTAATACCTACAGATTTTCGATGGGTCGTTGATAGCTGCGTTTACCTTAAGTTCGAAATAGTTCCACTATAAGATCAGATTACTCATTGTAAACAAAACAAGGGATCTATGAATACGTAGAGCTAATTAATATCCGATAGCTACTGAGTAATGACCCGGACGGTCTAAGGACTCCTTATCGATGTCTAAAGGTTGGATACGCGGATAGGCGGAAAGTGGTGCTTGAAACAGTATCGTCGCTAAAGGCCCTGTCCTTGTGAGCATTAACTCAAGGGTACAACAAGAAATCTATTATCGTTATAGAAAATAAGACGTTTTAGATCTTAAGGACGTTGTTTGGAGTTATAAGGTTTTAAGATGCTGAACATTTTAACTTGATTATTTCTATCTAAATCAATGAGACTAATAGTTTTTGGTTTTGTATTTATTGAATTAGGGTCTCTAACAAAAATACTTTTAGAATAGACGAGTAAAATTACATAAAATTAAAAACTATGTGCTTCTGTAATTATAGGAATGGAAAAAATCATAAATTATACATAACACATAAATTCTTGAAGGATTCGTATGTCAAAAATAAATGTTTTAAACACTAATGTTGCATTTGAATCAAAAAAAAATTCTGATCTCATCAGATTGACTTAGTTGAAACATTATGAATATGCAAGATTAGCAATTTTTTGAGAGTCCGTGTGGGAATCGAACCCCCTACACGATACGCGGCAGCCATCGAGCCAACCGTGCAGTCGATTAAAATTCAATAGTCAGTAAATTTTAACTGTCGAATAAAAGTGACATTATTTTGATATATTCAAAGTTATTTCTCAATTAAAATTGATCTGGCGTTGTAAAATTGGCTCTAAGACCTCTATTAAACTATATAACACTTTAACTGCAAGCATCCTATACCAGTACCAAACAATACAAACAAAATAAGTGCTCCATTCCCAACGACAGAACATTTTACAAATGCGTCGTTCTATAAAGCTGCAATCGTAAGAACAAAACAAATGTCAAATTTTTCATCTGGCGTAGGTAATTTCACTCGTAGTCTTAGTTATGAACTCACTTATTGTCGGAATATGAAATTTTATTATTATCACGCTTTGATTAGTGATTAGTGCAGTTCTGTGGGTTGCCTTTAGTTATAAATTATAATCGAACACTATTAGTTAGTACCTTTATGGTTATTAAAGAGTGGAGTTTTATCACTACTTATCATGAAAACTTCTACATAATTGCATTTTTATCATCTTTCTTAATCATTTTGTATAACTGTTAGATTGCCATGTATTAAATGAATAAAAAGCTTTGAACTTTCAGAATAGCACTGCTCCAAGCAATGTCGTATCCACATAAGTCTAGCGAGTTGTAACAAACATTGTCGTGTCTAAAACACTTCCACTTTCTTGTTCAGTATCCACATTAAATATGCAGTGTTTCTTATTGTGCTTTTTACGTGTAGCGACCTTTTCTTAGCCTTTTGACATTCCATGATATTGTACAGCTCTACTGCGCCTTCTTCGTAACATTGTTTGTTAAAAAATTCAGAACGTTTGACATTTTCAAGATCGTTTGGTTGTCACGAGATTGTTTATATTTGCATGATATTTTTTGGGATTGCTGTTGACAATGTGTGGAGGATTTTGAGTGAAAATTTATATACAACTTGTTGTTGTTTAGTTGTGTTTCTTTGTATAAATCCTTCTTTCATTTGTAAGTGTATATTGTGTTTTCTAAAAGTGACATTTCTGTATCCACCGATACCACGAATGGAAGAAAGTGCGCGTGAATCACGGCAGAGGGCGCGCTGGGCCCGCAGACTCGAGTAGCCAGTAGCAGCGCGACAGTCGCTGCGTCGCGGGTCGCGAAATGCTGCTCATGAATATGAGCCTCTAGCATGGCTTGAAACTAATCGAGTTCCTCGTCAAATCATTACGTGAGTAAGCCGAAAACATAATAATTTATTTAGTATGTCTCACGAAAGTTACAATACAAATTTATGTGTTTGTTTATGGAATCAATTTTTGATGAAAATAGGAACAAATAAATGTTTGATTGGACATAAACAGATAACAAAGCCATATCCGTATGTTATTCACAAGCAAGATATGTGTGACTCGCTCCAGTGCCGAAAATTGGATCACCCATTGACATTTAAATATTTTATTTATATCTGTTGGAAAGTTATAAAATGAAACGACCTTTGGAATATCAGTGTGCAGTGAATATGTGGAATAATACGGAAATGCATCCAACCCGTTCCAACCCAGTAACCGAATAACTAAGAGCGTTTTAGCTTATCCCAGTATCTGGAAGCATTGGTTCGGATTGCTTTCTCAGATGTTTTAGCGTTTAGATCGCAAATCTAGTATATCATGATATAAGATAGTGTGTCATGATCACTTTTTTAAAATAGTTGTTACAATACCTACTGTAAAAAATTCGAAATCATATAACGTGTTAGATAACAGACTTGTATGATTTGAATCCTATTTTTTAAAGGACATATTAATGTTCCCCAAGTTATTTCTATAAATACTTAATTATTTGTTTCTGATTAAATTAATGACAGAAATTATGTGTAATTGCATGAAATCCGTGGAACTTGAGACAAAAAGAAGAAGAAACAAACAATAAGAGCAATACTCCGGCACGAATGGGCCTGCTTAACCGCAGTTTCACCACGGTCTCACAGAAAACTGACGTGAAACAACACTTGCGTTGTGTTTCGGCGTGTGAGTGAGGTTACCAGTGGCCCAATTACCCCGCCCTCTCCCGAATTTCCGCAATCCCTGCATCCCCAACATTGCTCAAATTCCTAATCTCCAAAAGGCCGGTAACGCACTTGTAACGCCTCTGGTGTTCCATGGGCGACGCCGATTGCTTACCATCAGGTGGACCGTCTACTCGTTTATCAGCTTATCCCGTACAAAAGAACTCATCCACACTCTCCTGCAAATCAAACCTAAGCTATTACATCCTAGAGGTATATGCTAGACACATATGTATGTGGTCCCTGTAACCTACCTGTATAGAGGCTCTCCATCAGTTTCCTTGAACCAGAGTACCATAGAGACATGGTCCTCGGCCGCCAGCGGCTGTATGTCGCACGGCAAAGCGGCCTTTTTGCCGAGCACGCCTTGCGCGTGCGCTGTCGGTACTGTAACAAAAAAACGAATGATTTAAAAAAACTTTAAATACAGATTTTACATTAGGTGCATTGCTAACATTATCAGAGTTGTGGGTAGCTTGGATAAAGGGGATACTTTCGTAAAGTTGATGACGATGTTATCTTAATTGTCTATTTTTGTTTCATGCATACATAATACAATGGTTAATAATAGCCTGAATCTAAAGCCTCAAAACTATAGCTTTTTTTCTTCTCCTCTATTAACATCTCCTGTTTTATTTTGTTGCCGGATCCAAGATTCATGTCACAGCGTCGCGTCGGACTTCTGCGTTCTGATGTTTTGATGGTTTTATCTAATGTAGACCTGGCTTACAGGAGTTGCAACGGTTTGGGAGGTTGTAGCGGGCTTATCTTAAAAAATAGCTTAATATCTATCGACTTAAAAACGTCAAATAAAACAGTTTTTGGACTCGATAGCACTTAAATGTTACCGGTATGGTGTACCTACTTAAGTTCAATGAAATAAAATAAAAAATATAATTGTACTATACAATATAAACCACAATAAATCGACTTTGTAAAGAAAAAATATACACACAAATACCTACTTAATGACATACGTACTAAGAACGAAATTGGGTAAATAATTTTCAAAACACCTTCCTCCAATAAATTGAGTTACACGTGATATTTATTAAAGGTACAAGTATTACAAGTAATCCGATTCGAACCTCAGTTCGTTCACCTCTGACTAATTCAGTAAAGATATCAGATTTACAAAGACAAAATACATTTTAGTCATTTTGATTGTAATATGATAGGAACACGCTCTCAGCTAAACAATCAATCAAGCACCTAGATATAATTTTATTTGTTTGTATCAATAACTGTAGTTGAAGTTAGTTCTCAAAGTAGAGGTATATGAAATATTATATAGTTGTTTAGTTAATACTATAAGTTCATCAATCTTATTCTGTTTGTTCTTGTCTTAGGGCTCTTGTTATTTTTTTTCATTATCAGATTTCAGTCCTAATACCTATTCTGTCTAATTTTGCTTTAGTTTATGATATTTGCATCAAATTTTAAGCATGTAATCATACTTAAAATTTGATGACCACAATGGACCTTGCTGCACAGTTAGCGGTGGTGAAGCAACTGGCTGCCGCGCAACTTGTACCGAGTTCGATTTCTGCACGAAGCAACTCTTTGCGTGATCCAAGAATTGTTGTTTCAGGTCTAAGTGTCATGCGTATGTGCAATTAAATATTAACGTTAATAACAATAATTATAAACACACCCATGACACAGGAAAATTTAGAAAATTCTGGTATTTGGCAACGTTTCATTAAAAAAGTAAAATTCTACATTCTGATCTATTTTCATAAGTTTTCGACAACCGAAAAATTTTCATTAATGTTTTGCCTGATCAATGAATAGAACCTGAAACTCCTTGAGCGATGGTCATCCTTGCGATCACTTGACTTAACATGAGCAATACACCTAAACATAGTAGTTCCCTATATGTCGTCTCTAATTGGTCCAATTAATCAGACTCGTATAACCTTCTCCGTGTTTTACTTGCACTACACATTATCTTAATGTCCTCATCTCCGGTACACAACTTCTTATACCGTACGTCTTTTTGCATCCCTTCTCGTAATGTATGCCGTCTTGGAGTCTTTATATTTGTCCTCTATTTTTGTAGATTCATAAGAGTAAATGTATAAAGTTTTACAATACATTAAAAATTAAAAATTAATAACTACGTTATCTATGATCTAAAATATTCTAGACATATTAAAACTAAATTAACTAAAAATCGCGGGTTACTCACGTGATAATACTGAGAAAACCTCTGCTAGTAGGCTGCGCAACATTCCCTCGACCACGCACGCTCCTCATGAGGAAGAACTCCCCTATGGCTCGAAACTAGTAGAGCTTTTCTCAGTATTTGCAAATGAGTAACTCGTGATTTTTAGTTAATTTATTATTACTCATGATAGTTATTATAACAACAGAATAAGCTACAAACGTAAATGTAAAATTGAATTCACAATATTTACTTACAATTAAAAGTAAACAAATCTTTGATCTGTTATCACAACTAATTACAATCCGATTAGTAATCAAATTATTTAATTTTAATCCTCTACAAACTAAACAAAAGTATAATGAAACATACAAAAATCCGAGTATCTATAGAATGGTTTAAAACTTTTTACATCAAACTTAGGAGTCTCTTCATTTAAGTGAGTTGATGAAGAAAATCTTATTACGTCAAATGAAAGTAGTATTTAAGAACAGAGACGAATAATATCATTTTGTTGTCCTTTTGATCTGACTTAATTCTGCAACTAATTAGAATATACTTGTATATTTTGAGTAAGTAAAGCAAGCCTTCATTGTATCGACTGCACGGTTGCTGCGGTGGCTGGGCAACCGGCTGCCGTGCAATGTGTCGCGGGTTCGATTCCCGCACGGAACAACACTTTGAGTGATCCACAAATTGTTGTTACGGGTCTGGCTGTGATGTGTATGTGACATTGTATGTTTGTAAACGCACCCACAATACAGGGTTTTTTTTAATTATAGTTTTATGTAGGTACCTACTACTTTTTCTAAACGAACTACTTGCTTTTTTAAGACGTCAGCAGCACAACCGATGGACATGGTCGAGTGAGGCTTCCAAGAGACTTAGAGCATTAAATTAAATATAATTAAAACAGCATTATAGGTACTTGAATATCTACCAATTCACCTAATACCTGAAAGTATATTGTAATTTTCGAAAAATATAAAAACTTTTAAGCATTATAAATAGAACATGCACATAAACGAAACGCTGCCATTTCGCATATATTCCTCTAACGTATTCGTTCGTCGACTCGCCGCGCACTTAGAATATTGCGGTAGTTTCAAACATTTAAAGAGAATTTCCCAATTCTTGCGGTATCAAATAATAAAAGTAAAAAGTCGCGTGTTTCGGTCGAGCGCAGCGATGCCTGACGCTCAGTCGCGCGACAAGTCTCACGGTGTCGTGTCGCACGCCGCCATGAGAACGAGACACATTCACCCGGCAACTGGACACCAGTTTTAATTAAATGTTTTTAAAACCTTCTGCGGTTTATTTGTATCTTAGGGATAGTAGAAATCCTTTAGTTTAGATTTAATTGAAAGTTTCCCTAACTTTGTTTATACCTACACTTGATTAAAGTCACCGTCATAACATTTATTTCACTTACAGTTTAGAAGGCTCTTTTGAAAGTTAGGCTATTACAGTGAGCGTTGCGTGGAGTATTTTCTTATATCACTCGTCATTACTATCATCTATTAAGATTCTCTGAAACTTTTGTGTCATGGAGATAGCAGAAACTAATCCATGGATATCTTAATTTCAACCTTTGTTTTATCAATTAAAATTTATAGAAGTTATTAGAACAACAGTCGGTCTGATATTTAATCTTTTAGCTTGATAACTTATTATATTAGTACCACCATTACCTAAATAGAGAGAGGAAACATTTTCAATTTCAAACATATAGTATTTAGATTCCAGTTCTTACATTACGTGACCAAAGTCTTTCCCAATTTCCACCAGGAATATATTTATTGGCCTGCTTCGATGCCAAGAAACCATTTACTCTATAACAACCATTTATAGATACTTCAGGTCATCTGATCATTACTATTGATATCTATGCAAAGGTTTTAAAAGAATTTGCATATACAAACATACATACAGTCATAACCTCACGTCTGTCTCCCATGGGAGGTAGGCAGAGACTGTAAAACTCCAATTGCTACGATTTTTACATACCTCTTTCGCTTCATCAACAGACATGAAGTAAGGAATACGCTCTTTTGAAGGTCATATTGGTTCGGAAATACAGCCGATGATAAATCATTCCACAGGTTTTCTGTGCGAGGCAGAAAGTTTCGGGATAAACGCACAGTTTTACTTTCATATTAGCACGGAGCCGAGGACTATGCCAAGTATGCTATTGCAATGGGCTCATCTCCTATCGCCCATATGATACCCGTAGGATAACTGGTACAAAGCAGGACACTTTTGCTTATCCCTTCGGAGAATAAAAGTGATTCGTGATTCTAAGTCACTCCTTTTGAATCTAGATTCAGACAAGTTTTAAAACTAACACAATTAAATAAAATACCTTTTCTATTTTAAGCCCTCAAATAAAGTAAAATGCTCAATTTGATGAACTAGCTTGCCAATAATTGGATTATGTTCGAAAATTCCAGTACGTACAATAGTATTGAATTACTGAACTAAGCTTTTTGTCACAAAAAAGAACCGAGCTCGATATTTTGTCTTCGATTAAAAACAATTTATTTTAGTAAAGTTTACTAAAATAAATTTAAGTGTAGGAGAACCATGCTTCGGCACTTATGGGCGGGCTCAACCGGAGTGATACCACGGCCGAATAGAAAACCGACGTGACATAATGCTTGCGTATTTCATCGTGTAATCGAGATGACCAGAGGCCCAATTATCATTGTAAATGAAAATATGATGGAAAACAGTTAATATAAATATAAGAAGATGCTTTCAATATTTTTAATTAAAAGTAGTAAACCATGAGGAAGCATTTCCTCGGAACTTGGGAAGATAACCTCTAGCTTCAATAAGTATTACAATTACAGGTTATGTTAATATTATAATGGTTTCGACTTACTCACGAAACTGTTTGACGAGGAACTCGACTAAACAGCCGAAGCCGAAAACATAATAATTAATTTAGTATGTCTAACGCTAGTTATAGTATAAACTAGTTACATTGTACGAAAACAAACATTTCCTAGAATGTATTACGATGTACTATCTATGTCTATCCATGTATGCCCCTGGCAGTGTTACACTGACATAAACACACCAAATAATCAAGATGAGAAAACCTTTCAACTGAAGCCAATTTCCTCAAAAGATTAATAACCACCGATTCTCAGAATTTTTACCTTCACAAACATAAATAAGTACTTAAAACGTGACTCTAAAACGTCTTTTGATCGTCTCG